AACCAGGAATTTTGGTTTGGAAGCAGTAGTGACATTGAAAAGCATGGAATGCCGACCCTCTCAAGGATAGAGACCCAAACAGCAGAAGTGGATAGGAGGTTGGGGTTTCTGCAGGTTAGGGAAAGGGGTACAGCCCCCAGGTCTTAGAGGGTGCTGACTGGAGCTTGGCTGTAGTTTGCCATGCTCATGGTCTTAGAGAACTGCCACCTGCCTGACAACGAGCTCCACTGAGCACCATCAGGTCTCTACACTAATCAGGGACCAACCCCCCTGGAATGGGTTGTGAGCTCATCCAGAAAACATCCTGCTCTGCCCCCTGCAGGTGGACATGACTACCCCGCACATTCTGTCCTAAATGCATTATGAAGCATGCCCTGAAGCATGTGTCAGTGGCTTGTGTTCACCTGGCCTCCAGAATAGAAGGGACTCCAAGACAGGATGTCATCAGCAAATTTCATTGCTGTTGACACCTAAGAGAGAAAAAACACATGTGCTTTTACTCTGGGATTAAAATTAGGTTAATTCAAAAGAAATCATAAACGTTAGAAGATGAAGTATCACCAAGCTGGGTTTCTGCCTCCTTGTGATAACTATCATAAGGTAATCGTGCACCTTCAGATGTTAGCATGTTAGTGTAACCACCTGCAGGGGGCAGAGCAGGATGTTTTCGGGACAGTGCCCAGTCCAGATCTGGTGGGATGTCATGAATGGCGGTCTTCATGCAGAGGTTTATGTGTGGCTCAGCCTAAGCGCATTGCCTGGGCTTGCATTAGTCTCATTGCCTGGTGTTGGAAATCTCTCTGCCCAGTAGTGCCCATTGGTTTCTTTTGTGTGGAGCAACTAAAGGAGAAATTCAAGAAATCTCTCTTAAAATCCTGTAGAGCTTTGTGCTTTTGTCCACAGTTCAGCCCTTCCCATGGTGTATACCTTGGCATCAGTGGCCCTGAAACAGGACCGTGGACAAAGTTGTTGACTCTGGGTCTCATGATAAATTTGGAGATGTGCCTTCCAGGCTGGCTTGGGGCACAGCACACTCCAGTCCCAGTGCACACCTGACCACTGCAGGGCCCACCTCAGCAGTAGTCCTGCAGGTGGCTGGATGTAAAAGCAGATGCACATACGCCTGTTGATGTGGCTTGGCTGCTGACAACCAGCTGTCTCTTCACTCCTGTACTTAATTACATTAAAACCAGAAAAATGATTTTTAGCACCTTTGTCTCTCTTAGATTGTATGTATGTCCGTATTTTGCAGTGTTTCCCAGTGAGAAAATGGCCTTCAATGGCTCCTTACTCTCTGTCCATATTATAATTAAACACATTTATAACAAGTAAAGGAGCAAATGAAAACTCAGGACTTGCATTTTGTCAGCCTAAACCTTGGCTAGAGAATTCTAGTTTTTTAAAATATGAAGGTATTCAGGCTGTGTTGAAAGTTGTATATTTTTGCCTGGACAATGCGGAGTATGGCCATCATATCCTAAAGAGAGAAGTTTCCTATATGTACATTTTGTCTGGTTAATTGCAATTCTCTTGACTCGGGACATTTGGAATGTTAAAGAATTTGAAGTTTGTCACTGTTTGCTTTTGGAGTGTGCAAACACGTGCTCGGCCAGCAGGACCCATTCTCGAGGTATATCTGGGCTGCCGTGCCTGCTCCCTGCTCACATGCAAGTGCTGAATTTCATTTGAAAAACAAACAGTTATATTCCATGCATGTGTGATTATGTCAGATTGAACCCCAATATTATTTATGATTATAATGCACTAATGAAAACCAAAAAATATCCAAACAACCACGAAAATCCCAGTTCTTCACAGTCACACTGCCTGTCCTTGTATTGCTGTGTATGGTGTGTATCGACATTGAGTGTATGTGGTGGGCACATCTGTATTTCAGGTGGCTTACATGAATTTTGTTCTTGTTTTTTTCCTTTTAATTTGATTTTTAAGTTCATAACACATTAATGTGTTGCAAATTCAAAAGGTAAATAAAGGAAAATTCCCCCCTTTTCCTGTCCTCCATGTCCACTTCTAAAGATAAGCAGTATGATTAATTTCAAGTATATCCCTCCAGACCTGTCCTGTGAATATATATTATTTATTCACTTTTTAAATTTTTTTCTCATGCTTTTACAAAAAGCAAAGCATATTGTACACAGTTTTGTACCAGCTTCTCATTTGACAGTGTATCATTGAGTTGTGTTACTAATTTACATTTTTACCAATGATAGGCTTCACGGCTTTTTCACAATTGCAACGACACAGTTGTCAAACTTTATTTTTTGCCATGTTGATAAACTTAAATTTCACTTCTCTCATGATGAGGTGAGATGGAATAGAGGCTTATAGCTGCTTATATTTTCTGCTTTGTGAGCTGTGTTTGTTGTCTTGCTCCTTGTTCTACTGCAATATTGATTTTTTTAAATGAATGGAGTTATTACTTCATGGAAATTTGCCCTTATTGTGTAAGTTGAAAGGGTTTTTTGCCCCCAGTTTGTTATTTGGCTTTTGACTTTGCTTGCATTAGTTTTTGCTCTGTGAAAATATTTGCTGTTAAACAGTTGTGTTTATCCGCTTGTTTTCTGAACTGTGTATGAAACCTAAGCCTTTCCCACTCCTGAGTTTTTTTTTTTCTCCATGTCTTTAGTGCTTATATTAAATCATTGGTCCATCCAGGGTTTATTTTGATTTTAAGATGAAAAGTACAGCTCCAATCTTTTGTTTCTTTATTTTTCCTTTTATCTTTTGGGTTTCATGTTGATATGAATTTTAAATTTTAAAACTTTCAGAGTCTGCACTATCACATATGAAGATGAGTATTACCAGTTAGGCCATCTACATTTTTGTATGAACTGGAAATAATTATTTTCAACATATTGAGCTTTTAAATCAGGCTGCAAGAAGTTTCAGATTACATGGCATTGTTGATTACATGCTCAATGTTCTCCTTTTTCTACTCTGTCACTGAGCTACATCCCTAGCTCTTTTTTTTTTTTTTAAGACAGGATCTGACTAAGTTGCCCAGGCTGACCTTGAGCTTGAGATCATCCTGCCTCAGTGTCCCGATAGCTCGGATCAGAGATATGTGCCAGTGCACCTGGCTGTTATTTTTACTTTTAATGTAGTTCTTATTTTTAAATGACAAGAGCTTCCTAATTTTATTATTTACTTTGTACTAAAAGTGAGCATTTGGTAATATTTCTGAGCACATTGATGAGTATGTGCCAGAGTCCTCCAAACCAGGCTATCTGATCAGAGGCTGATGTCTGTGGGTCTTGAGAAGGAAGCGCTTTCTGGGAGAGGAGATCTTAGTTAATATCACCCGTGTTGGAGGACTTCCTTGGGGAGCAGACAATGTGAGTAAATATTTCCATAGCATATCTAGAGTTACTCAGCGATAAATTCATTTGAAAGTCATATCAATTATGGCAACTGGGACTTATAAAATGAAAGAATTATTGGTGAGATTAATAAGACATAGTTTAAGATTTATAAAGATTTTTAGTCTGGAATTATTTGGAAAGAAAATAGATTTCCTCATGTATGATGTGACTATGAATATTATTTGACTTTCCAATTTCTCTGACAAATAAAGTAGGAGAATATAACTATGAACCATTAACAAATACATATGGTAAAACTTTATAAAGCCTTAAGTAGTAAACTGTTTTTAGTAAGTGATAATATTTGTAGGAGAAATATACTAGTTTTTCTGTCTACCAATTGATAAGTCATTTAAAAATTCTTAGCTTTTTTCCTCTACCTCCATCTGTAAAACTAAAGCAGTAGAAACAATAATAGTTGTAATTGTTCATTTTGCTTCCTAGGGATATTTTGAGAATCCTAAACTAATATGTTAACAAAGATATTGTAATTTTGAGAACTTTCTTAATAGGCATGTAAATAAAGATGGGTCTTTTTATAAACATTCTAACTTCCTTGGTTATTGGAAGAAATGTATTTCATTGGAGATACTGAGTATGTTCTATTTAAAATTCTTTTTTTTTTAACAGTGATTTCTCCTTTTTAATTTTTTGGCTTTAAAATGTGAATGTCATGATATTTGACACACTAGCATCAATAAAACTCTTTGTAGTCTATAAAAATTGTTATTAAAATCTTTCTAGATTGTAATTACTTACTACCAGAGACATTTCTTTTTCTTAGTAATTTCTGAAATTTTCTCCTGTGCTCAAAAGCTCAGATGTATATATTTCACTATACATTTCAAATTATACTTTTTTTTAAACATTGCCATTTAAATGTTTCTTGTTTTTCATTTGAATCTCTTATATGGCATGGCCATGAGAAAGGTAACACTGACTCTGTTTATTTGGTATGAAGTACATAATACATATGCTGATCCAAAGATAGCCACAACACAAAAAATTCTAAAAACTTTTATGATTTGTCTTCCTCATATGTATGGAATAAGTGTGATATGCCCATAAATATTTGTTCAGGTATTTGTTAATGAAAGATGTTGATGTAATCAGTTAACAGTTTATTGTTCATGTTTTAATGTTTTACATAATAGTCCTGCAGTGTTTGTCACTAAAAATAAAGATTTCTCATACAGGTGAAATAAAATAATTATACTTTATAGAAACTTCATTAATAATCAGGATTCTAGAAAAAGGAATATATTGTGGAAACAGAAGAAATTCTCTTCTGGGTATTATAGCAGTTTTCTTTCTTATGTTTTTAAACTAATTTTTAAATTTCATGTGGCTACAATATAATTTGATTCCAAGAAAATGAACTATGAAGCATTCTTTTTTTCGTTACACTACAAATGTCTGTCACATTTTAGAGTGCTTGTGTAGGTTTTATGACATAATCCTGAAATCTGTGATGTCTTATTTAGAAACTCAGGCCAAATTACACTTAATTAAGTTAAGGGTTTGTTGGAATAGCAGTTTACTTAAAAAATGAGGTCCAAATAGATCAGTGGACTGATGGAAATCAACCAGGTTTGCTTTATCTTTCCCCCTCTTCAGGCAGAGCTCTCAGCTGGGAGATGAAAAAACATTTAATGATTCATCATTGCTGGAAAATCTCCAAAATAATCATGTAAGCAACATGAAACAATTATCTTTTTTCGTTAATGCATGAAAAATAATAAGTGTTCCTCAACTGTCTTGTGTCTATATTTTTTGAACTTTCATAATCATTTTAAATAATTGCCAAAAATCTCATATTGCAAAATTCTTTTTACATGGCTAATGTGAATTCTCGGTAATTGGAAATTTAATTTTAATATTATCATTTGTCAGTATTCTTTTTTTTTTGAAAGTGTTAAATTTTAAATAATTATAGAACCTCGAGTGGAATAACTCACTAATATTAACAATTTCAAAATGTCTATAGAGGAATTACTCAATATCATAAACTAGTGTCAAATCTACACTAGGAACTCCAGAGCCTGCCTGGACCCAGTGTGAACATCCTGCTTAAGAAGTTATTGACGGGGCTGGAGCTGGGGCTTAGTGGTAGTGCTCTTGCCTAGCACATGTGAGGCACTAGGTTTGATCCTCAGGACCCATAAAATAATATTTTTATTTTTTTAAACATGTTTTTAAAGTTATTGCTGCTTATTCAGATTCCACCAGATTAGCCTGTAGATATTCCTGGAATTTAAACTTGTCCTCACTGGCTCAGGCTCAATCATGAGACAGTTGAAACATTTGGGTGTCTAGCACTGGAGGGCTCACATCTGCCCCTGAGTAGAGCCCCGAGCAGTGTGTTCATAGGGGTATTTTTGTATCATTTTTTCTTAAGCGGGCCTTCAACAACATATTATTCTCAGGATCCACCAAGCCTGGACCTAGACCACCTGTTCCCTCTTGTGTTCTCAGTAAATTATGTTGTCACCTGTCTTGTCATTCTGAAACTGAAGGTTTGCCTTGGCTACCTCCTTCTCTCTCCACGTCCAGATCTCCTGAGTCCTGAAGCCCTCATCAGGACTAACACCTAGGGTGTGTCCCAGATGTCTGCTTCAGTCCTCTCACAGTCTCACCACCCATCCAGGCACCAGCATCCCCTCAGTGGGTCACAGCTGTGACCCCCAACCTGTCTCCTTGTTGGCATGTTCACTCCTCATTGTTGTTGCACATGACAAGCTAACAGGATGATCTAGCCCCTCTCTGAGACACCACCTTCCTTTGAGCTCCTTTTCCTTCCTCTCTACTCGAACCATAGGGGCCTTCTTTTATTTTCTGAAACACTTCATCCTTGCCTTCTTCAGGAACTTTTCAGTTATATGCCATTCCTATTCGATGGAAGTCACTTGACTCAGTTCTTGGTGAGACGAAAACCTCACCTGCTTAGACATCTCCTTGTCTTAATGACTGACTCTCCCAAGTCACCATTCATGGTATTTGCTCTTTAGATCCTTAACACACTACCAATGAATAGTACTTGTGTATTACATTCTGTCTCCCCAAAGGACTAAGCTTCACATGGCTGGGACCATGCCTGCTTGATCCACTTTTTTAGATTGAACAGTTTTTTTCAAATAATGTTCTCATTTATCATTTCGCTTTTTTTTTTTTAATTTTTTGTTTACTTTTTTCCCCAAGAGCATAGAGCTTTGTTTTTCCTTTATTAATCTGAATGACGTTTCTCTTCATTAGAGGCCAGGAAGATGTTTAATTTTAGATCCTGTCTTCTTGTTTTCTCCTATACACTATCAGCTCCTTGAAGAAAATAATCCATTTTCAGTCTTCCTCAAGCCATTAAAAGTCCACTCTACTGGGGAGTTGTTTTTTTTTTTTTTTTTTAACTTAGTAAACTATCAGTAAGGTTAAGGTTACCATTTTTGGAGAGGGGGCAAAGCTTTATGAAATCCCCCATCATCATCATTCCAACCCAAAGTAGGATTAGATGCCTGAAATTTAAAACTGGTCAGGAATTACAGCCAGGTAAGTGAATATTTTAGAATTTCTATCCTCCTAGTACAAATTCATCCTTTTTTAATATTTTTACTATATTATTTCTATTTGACCACACAAAGTTGTCTTGTATAAATGTTTAGAAAGTGAATGAGGAAGTACAAGAATGAATAAATTGAGTTAAAAACATGTTTTCTTCATAATAGATATTGGCTATAAATCCACAGCCCTGATTATTAATAGATTAATATGAAATAATATTTCTGTCATTAGTGTCAAAATGTTAAGTGAAAATAAATGATGTATTTCTCTCTTGCAGCCGACGGCCCCTATCATATGTGAGTTTCTTACAATGATGGCTGTCTGCCACACAGCGGTGCCAGAGCGGGAAGGTGACAAGATCATTTATCAAGCGGCATCTCCAGGTACAAGTGAAGTGGTCATGAACATTTTTTCCTGTGGAAAATTGTTCTGAAATTTGGGATTATCTAAATAAAATCAATTTTGTCTGAAAATGTAAGATTACCAAATTGTGCTTTTTAGATAAAAATTTTCATTTACTAATTAGAAAAACCTTGGCTGTCAGGATTCATTGTGTGTGTGTGTGTGTGTGTGTGTGTGTGTGTGTGTGTGTGTTTTGAAACATACATCTTTGTATATGTAATATGTTGGTGTATAACATGCATTACATGGGAATTTGAATAACAAAATAAGTAAATACAAGTACTTTTCTATAAACATGTATTTTCCCTTTATAAATATTAATCAGATTGTTTTGTACATAGGCAGTCATAAAAAGGAAGATCTGTTTGCCTAAAATAGTGATGTACATGGCTTTAGAACACAAATGTTGCTGTTTTCTTTTGAAAATGATAGTCAGGAGGCTTGCTTTGTATTTACTTGGGTGAAGAAACTTTTATTCATGTAAAAGGATCCTATAAAATATTTATTAGCACAATTACTAATATTATTTTGGCTTAATTTTAGACCGCCTTTCAATTTAAAATTGGGTGCCTAATCAATTTGATAATTGTAAAAGTTTTAGAAAAACAATGAATACCCTTTGGAGAACTCTTGTGTTTAAAACTTTATTCTAAATAAACATCTATGCTGTGTAGAGTGAACAAGATTCCTAAAAAGAATAAGAAGATACCACATCTTACATGGTTAGAATAGAACCTAGATGAATATTTTCTCATCCTACACCCTCCCCCAGCAATGCAAGGGTTTACAACACAGAGATGAAAGTAGTTAATATATAATAAAGCATTCATTAATTTTACACTATTTAAATTGAATCCTCAATTAGTAGCATTAGTTTTTCTACATTCAACTCTTTAGAAGGAAGATACTAAATATTTTGTGTGTGTGCGCACTAGGGTTTAACTCAAGGATGCTGGACCACAGAGCCACATTCCCAGCCCTATTTTGTATTTTATTTAGAGACAGGGTCTCACTGAGTTAACTTAGAGCCTCGCCATTGCTGAGGCTGGCTTTGAACTCAGGATCCCCCTGTCTCAGCCTCCCAAGCCGCTGGGATTACAGGTGGGTGCCACCACACCCAGCAATAAAAATTTTTAAAAGACAGTTTTGTGCCATTCATTTGGAGAAGAGTGTTCTGGAGAATATGCTGGTCTAAGGGATACAGTTTTCATTTTTAGGTGTGGGACTAACAATGAGATTTACTATTCAGAAACCTGATGCTGGGGTATATGTCTCAGATACTTTCCATCATTCTCCTCCTTTGGCATTATCATGGAACTTAAAAAGAAATGGATTGCAACAATAGGGACCAACGTGAAAAGAATTTTAACTGAAAAAAATTGCATTATATGAATGCTTTTCTGTTGTGTTTCGGGTAACTTTTTCTATCACTTATTTGCTTTTACCTGTTCTGAAACAGATGAGGGAGCTCTGGTCAGAGCAGCCAAGCAATTGAATTTTGTTTTCACTGGAAGAACACCTGACTCGGTCATTATCGATTCAGTAAGTTATTTATGTTTTAAGTTTCTTTTTAACCAAACTAATGCATATGCATAGCTTCAATTATAAGGTAATAAAGTCATAATAAAATGGAAGTTTCCCACACCAAAAGGGAACACTTTCTGTTCTTTCATCTATTTGTTTAAGCATTTGTATATCCAGTACTTTCAAAAAGCGTTATTGATAATATGTTTCATAGTAGGTATAATTCTTCAACATTAGACACATCTACTGATTTTCTGTTCTGTTAGAAGGATTTCTCTTTTCCTCCATTTTGCCTATCCTTCCCTGTATTTCTAATATTGTTATAATTAATAAATATTCAGGACTAATTTTTTAATGGGCAGATATGTTACAAAAGATAATGCATGTCTGGCCAGTAAGCACATGAGAAAATACTGCTAGCCATCCAAAAAATGCAAAACTACAGTGTTAGGCCACTGCACTCCTACCAAGAAGGCGAAAATTAAAAATATCCATAGCACCAATGGTGAATGAGAGTGCAGAGCAAGTGGAACAGTCATGAACTGCTGGGTGATAAAATCCATTGTGAAAACCATTTAAGAGTTTCCTAAAAAAAAAAAAAAAAGATCAGTTTTTTAAATGGGCACCTGACCCAGAACACGTACTCAGTTACCCAGGGGAAATGCAAGTTGACATCCTCAAAATGACTTGGAAAGGAATCTTCATTGCTTTACTCATAGTAGCTAAAAGCTGAAAGAAACCAAATGCTCATCAGTAGGAGAATGGATAAACCAATTGTGATATATTCCTACACTGGTAATATCTAAACAATAAAAAGGAATGTTATCAATTCATCAACAGCATGACTAAATCTGAAAAACATTATGCTGAGCAAAAAAAGAAGAAGAAGAAAAGCCAGACACAAAGGAGTGCATCCTTTTTAATTTCATTTATATGCAGCTGGAGATCAGGCAGAAGTGATTAATGGTGATAGAATTCGGAACAGTGGTTGCTACAGGCAGAGAGAAGATTGACTGGGAACAGGCTCAAGGGAATTTATGGGTTGGTGGAAATGTTCCGAGTCTTGATCACAGTGGTGTTTACACAGAGTATAACTTTGTCAAACTATGTAATTTTTTTTTAACTGTACTTTGAAGATATATGCATTTTATTGAATATAAATTGTATCACATTTTACCAATAGTCATAGCTGAATATTATTGTATTCAATATTTTCTTTTACTTTTGTGTTTCCTTACACAAAATTATTTCCCAAGAATAATTTTTCCTTTATTACCTAAAGGGTAGTGGGGATTGAACCCATAGGTGCTCTACCACTGAGCCACATCCCCAATCCATTTTACGTTTTATTTTGAGATAGGGTCTTCCTATGTTGCTTAGGGCCTCACTAAGTTGCTGAGGCTGGCCTCAACCTTGCTGTCCTCCTGCCTCAGCCACTTGAGTTGCTGGAATTACAGATGTGTTCCACAATACCTGATACCTTCTTTTTTTTCATAATTGTCTTAATTGCTTCATTTTATTTCTATTACTAATTTACTTAATTTTCTTTTTTTCTTAATTACTTCATTTCTTTCTACTACTCATTGTTCTTTACACCTTCTACTATACTTTTGCAATACAATCCCACCAGATAATCTGTCTATTGGCAACTCTTGCCTCCTATTTTGGCTGATGTTGTTCAGAGGTGGTCTTCTGTGGCACGTGGAATTCCTTTTGATTTTCTCCTGTTTTTGACGCCTTCCATTAACCTGAAAATAAGCTCATATTTCAGGAAAAGAAATTGTGTAGTCATTTTTATGACAAACTTTGTGACTGGTGATTATTTCTAAGAAACTTAAGATATTTCCAACTCTGTGTAATCATATATCCCTTATTTTTATAGCTGGGGCAGGAAGAAAGATATGAATTGCTCAATGTGCTGGAGTTCACCAGGTAAAACTTCTCCTCTGTGTTTTTTCTGGATAAAATAAATTGCTATTCATTTTTCCTTTTTGAATATCTAGAATGTATCCTTTTTAATTTAAATTTAAGCAAAATATTAATTCAAAATCTTTAGTACATTTTTAATTATCTGTAGGTAAATACTAAACTGCTTTCTTCGGAATATTGCAATAGTAGTGATTAAAAAATTGTTTGAAACATAACTAATTCACCAGTCTAGGGCCTAGGGCCAGGAGACTGATAGCTAGTGTGTGAGTTAGTTTTTCATTCCTATAACAAATACCAGAAATTATCAACTTATAAAGAGAAAAGGTTTATGTCGGCTTACAGTTCTCAAGTTTTCAATGTGCAATTCTATAGCCCTGTTGCTTTAAGCCTATGTTGAGGCAGCACACCATGGTGGGAGGGTATGGTAGACCAAAACTGCTCACCCCATGGCCAGGGTGTAAAAGAGGAGGTGAAGACAGGGACGGGATTACACACCCTCAGTAAGCTAAAGAGCTTGCATTAAGCCTCACCCTATGAAGTCTGCACCACCTACCCGCAGCACCTCACTGGGTACTGAGGCTCCAACACATGGGCCCTTGGGGGACCTTCAAGATCCAATCTATGGCAGTTAGTGATCTGGAAACACAGGAAGAGTCACCAAGATTTCTGTGGAGTAATTGGAATCAGGAAGCCATCATCCTAATTGTGAGCTCATTATATCTAATTGTCCTTGGGATTTCAAAAACCATATGTATATCTCTGTGAGGTGTAAGCCACATACCATCTAGTTAGAAAAGAACAAAAAGCAAAGGGATTGTTCTACTGATTTTATTTCTGAAGTTCAAATAATAGAGTTGTTTAGTTTTAGTAAGGCCTTTAGTAAGGCCTTTCTGTACAAGTTTCCCAACCACCCTACATTCCTGGGACCAAGTAGTCCTTAGCTACAGGATCTTTAAAAAGATTGCATAGCCACCTGCAGGATACTTCAAAACATCAAACCCATGAGGTAGTAGAGCTGTCATTCAAGGAAATAAGTGCCCACCTTTTTTCAAGAATTTTCTCCTACATAAGACAAGCTCATATACTATCATTGAGAGATGTTTCCTTTTCTGTGCCAACTTTGGTTGCTATTTTAATTGGTAGTGATCCCATGCCCATGGTTCATAACAAAAGCAATGGGGTCTGTACAATTAATCTAGCACTATATTAATCAAAGACTGTTTTCTTTACTTATATACTCTGAAAGGCTCAAAGGAAAATAAATAAGAAGTTGGATAATTAACTAGAATAGAGTATTTCCAAAATGCATCCCTCGTCTTTTTCTTTTTATGTTAAAGTGACTGTTTTCCTAACCCTACTATTATAAGTAGTATGTTAATTGGCTCTTAGATACGTCTTTTAAACACACACTTAGAAAGTACTGTGCTAGATGCCATAAAGCAAGCCTAGGGATTTCAGGTCTTTGAGAATACTACAATGAGGGCAGACTTAAGAACGGAAGTGAGAAAAGTGAATATGATGCCGTTAGTCTTGTGAAAACTGGTGGTAGTGTAGACCAGGAGGATGGTAGTGAAATAAAAGGGAAGTTGATGGCACCCATATGCCTTTTAAAGGAAGGTCAGTAGGACTTTGCCATGGGTCGGATATGGAAGGCAGAGAGGGAGAGGTCAGGGCTTCTGGCATGAGCAGTGAATAGAAGTTCTGTTTACATGGATGTTAGAAACAGAAGAGAAATCGATGTGGACATTAAGATGTCTGGAATGAAACATCTTAATGTTTAGGTTTTAGATGCCTGTGAGACATACAAACGGACGTGTCAGGTCAGCAGTTGGATGTAAGTGCCTAAAACCTATGAGAGAAAGCCTATGGCTGAAAGACCATATGGCAGTCATTGGTGAAGAAGTGATATTTAAAGCCATGAAAGTGAATGGGATTGCCTAGAGAGCACACATAAGAGCCCAAGAGAAAATGGAAGGCTGATGACTGAGCCATGAGTAATTCTAACTATGAAGGGTTAGGAAAAGACGAATCAACAAAGGAGAATGCTTTGTTGTTAAAGTCAGGGAGGACAAAGAGGATAATAGGACAAGGCCAAGAGAAGAGCAGTTCAAGCTCACACGGACATCTCTGTCAAAGACTGCTTTAAGCTTAGGTGAGGGGAAGGTCAAAGTGTTCATCAAATGTGACCGTCCATTGGTGTGGTGAGGAGGGAAGCAAAAAGTGAAAGACAGGAATGAAGGGGAGGCCAGTGGAGGCGGTTCAGAGGTGGTGACGGTTCAGAGGAGTTGACCTGTGAAGACCAGTGAAGAAAGATTTGAAAGGGCGTGTGACTCAATGGAAGAGTGCTGGTTGGGGGGAGTTCTGTAGGGCGGCGGGTAGAGTTTAAATACTGACCAGCAGGGTCCAGCTTTGAAGAAGAGGCAGATTCACAGGAGTGAGATTCCTGCAAAAATGGGGTGAAAGGTGGTTCACACACACACAGAAGAGGCCTCTGATAAGAGAAGAAACATTTCCTCCATCATATTGGGGAAATAATGGAGAAGATGGTGCACACCCAGACAGAAATGGAGGCTTTAATGACATAAAGAAAAGGGGTTTCTTGTCTGATGTTTCTATCAAAGTAAATTCCAAAAATTTAAAGAGTCTGGAGTGAGGAGGGAACATAAGACTTGGAGAATGGAGAAGATATACACTGTGGTCTTACAGAGGGTGAGAGAGCAAGCTTCCTTGAGAAATGTAGTAGATAGGTGTTCAGTGATGTGTGGGGCGGAGCATCCCATTGTATCCAGTATCATGTATTTACCAGTCGTCATCACTGGGTGAATCTCAACAATGTCCACTTACTCTGATATACCACAGAAGAGTGTCGGCGTTTACCCTTGGGGATTTTTCCAGGAGAAGAGAAGAGCAAGGAAGTTGATGCGTTTGACACCATTAAATCAAAACTGAATTAAGAAAGGCATGAATCAAGAAGGGCTAAGTTAGAATGCACAGCTGTCATTAAATGTCTTCCTAAATAAAGTACCATATTCACATTCCCTCCTTGTCTGAGGTTTCACTGTCCGTTGAACCAAAATTCTAGAAGTCAACATTTCATAAGTTTTATTAAATGACTTCATTACAGTATACTGCTATAATCATTCTATTTTAATATTGCTGTTAGTCTCTTACCATGCCTAATTTATAAAGTAAGCTGTATCATAGGTTTGTATATCTAGGAACAATACTTGTGAATGTGTGTTTGCATTTGCTGTTGGGTATGATTATGTACTTAAAATTGATTATTTTTATTTTTTAACAAAAATTACCATACACAGTTGCTCTTTTAAGATACTAACTTAAAATATTTTTTCAAATGTGAAAATATTGAACCAGGACTCTCCTCTACTCTGGTGGGTCTTAACTCTCACAGGTTTCTAGGGAACCATTTTGTAAAGTATTCCTCTAGGGCAGAAGATGGTACCCTGATGACTCAAAAAAACATAATGTAACTTTCAAAAGTCCCCAACTGTACATCAGGGGATAATTCATATATGTGGAAGGATTGGGCTCATAATTTGATCAAATTTATTTTTTCACTGTGATTATTAAAATATGTGAGGCATGACAGACATATATGTGCAGATCCTCATTATGGAAATACCTCTTTCTTTCAGCGCTCGAAAAAGAATGTCAGTGATTGTTCGCACTCCATCCGGGAAGTTACGTCTTTACTGCAAAGGAGCTGTAAGTCTTTATTTTTGTCTTTTACAGTTTTGATTTATGCTGGTTTATAATGTACGTGTTAGGCATTCTGCTGTGGGAATGTAATGCAGATGTTTAGCATGAAGTTGCTGACATCCACTTTTGCTGGTGTTTTATAGTAACAGGGTTCTGCCTCTTCTGGTCAAATGTGGAATTCCTTCTGGGTAAATTGGGTGCTTTAAAAAAGTTTAGCATAGGTTATTTTTATAATTTAATATTTGCTACATAATATTTGAGTTTCATGGTACATAAACTATGTTAGCAGGCAACTAAATATGGAAAACAATATAATTTTTCAAAGAACATAGAAATAGTCTTTGTTCTTTGGATCATAGTTATTGGTATAATTTCTTCATGTGAAGATCACTGTTTGTCTTGCATTGTTTTAATTATAACAGAATTTCTAATAATTGATTAGCATTGACATATGGGCATGTTATATACTGTGTATTTCTTTTTTAAAAAATTATTTATTTAATTCATTTTAGTTGTTGATGGACATTTATTTTTTTTATTTATATGTGGTGCTGAGAATTGAACCCAGTGACTCACACATTTGAGTCAAGCGCTCTACCACTGAGCCACAACCTCAGCCCCTATACTGTGTATTCTAACTGATTCTCCTAGTTGAAATATGTTTACACTCATGAAAAAATGAGAAATCTACTGACTGGGGCTTTTTTTTTTTTAAGGTCAGTCAATATTTTCTTTTTGAATTGCCCTTTCTAGATACCTAGTTTGTAAATTCCCCACCTTGGAACTTTTCAATTTTGAATAGACTCAACAACCTTGCTTTTTCCCATGGAAATTTGGAAACCAAACTTAAGAGGCCCAAGTCTTTTTATTTAAATTCCTGTTGAGAATGTTAGATGCCTTGGTTTTAAATCATTAAAATGCAATTTTGAATGCCTTGGTTTTGAAGCATCCTGGTGGAATGATTTTGCAATGTCTTGTGAATTTCGTATTGAAATTCCTTTGGTTTTATTTTCCCACTGATTCAAAGACCTGACATTTATTCATTCTGAACATCTTATCACCAGACTTCAAACTGGATTTTGGAGATGCAAAGGAAAAAAACCTAAGATGTGTCAGGAATTTAAGACTAGCCAGGGAAACACATATAAACAGAAGGTTAGGTTACAATACTAAGGTATCGTAAAGATCTTCCAACAGCCCTGTGGGAATATGCACAGTGATAAGGGAATAGGAGAGCCTGCAGACCTCCCACTTCAAACAACTGATAGATGTCTGGTTTAGGCACCCAGATCACATCCATCCTCCTGTGGCTTTGAACATTCTTCTACCTAAAAACTTTGGGAAGTTAAAACATTGAATAAAAAGTAAAATTATAGAGACTCTTTTTTTTTTTTAAATAATCTCAGAGAGAGTTTGCATATGTTAACTCATTTATTGCATTGTTTTTCTTCCCTCCCAAATCGGCTATGAAATGTGGTTCCGTGGTAAAAGGCATAAACATGGAAAGCATGCTTGGGAACTAGCGGTAGGTTGCCAGGGAAGAGCTGGATTTGAGGTAGAAAAGGTCGATGTGAGTTAGGTTTTGTTTTTTTGTTTTCTTTCGTCTTTTACCATCCTTAAGAACTGTACCTTTTTCTTGATTATTCTCATGGCACCTCAGAGGATGATATAAGGCTACCAGTTGAGACCACTGACAACAGTCCATGCAGGAGTTGATATGGAATAACAAGACAGTTGCAGAAAAGACAGAGGAGGATGATTTAGGACTTAATAATTAATTGGTGATGAGGGAAGGGATTATCCAGGATTCTTAGGGGATTTCTGCTTGGCTTGCCAAGGGGACTGAATGATATCACTTCCTCAGATAGAGAGTTGGCCAGCTACATTTCGGCCACAAAGATTTCACAGGGGAAAGAATCTAAATTTCACAGGGGAAGAAATGCAGGGTACAGATACAACCTAGAATTTAATGTATATAGTTGGAAACTAAAAGCAGGGGATGCAGTCTTGTATGAAGAAATGTTACCTGAAATGAAACAAGAGTATCAAATGAAAAGTAGAAGAACCAGGAAAGCAGATTGTGATTTGGAGGAGAATCTAAGGAGCTTGTGAATTCCTTGATAGAGTCAATAATCAACAGACAACAGCTATAGCAGAAGACCTGGGTAAACAGAGCTCATTATGCACTCCAGTCAGGATGGCATAGTATGCCATTCTTTGATTTGCATTCTTTGTGCCAAAGTCATGGTGAAGACACATGGAGTTGATATAAGTATAAAGAGAAAATAAAGCTAAAACTACACAAATAGACGTCTGTGTACTCCAAAGTAGTAATAGAATCAAAGTGGTTCATTGAATTGAAGGCTTAAGCTGGATGGGGTGGGAGTCCCAGCCCCTGGATTCAGAATGTAGAAGCAGTGCTTAGAGTTTGACTTCTATGAAACCATGGGGCAAGTGTCCTAGATTTGAAATCACATGAGAGCCACCTTCCTGTCTGAAGTTAAGGACAATGGTGAGCTTCCCCAACATAAGAAGAGGCTGAGGAAATCTCATGCCAACCTCTGCAGAGGGTTTATAAAATGACCAGGTTGGCATGCCTGCAAAGAGGGACAGAACAGGAGCAAAACTCAGGGACACGTGAAGAATTTTCATGCTAAAAGAGATAACGAGTTCCATAAAAAACTGGGTATTCACTCCAGGTTGAATCATTTATATAGACCCATGTGCCAAGGAATGTTTTAATCTCAACATAATGAAGAAATTCTAACGTTTTTTTTGAGTCAAAAAGAAACAAAGAGGGGTAATATAAACACACACACACACACACACACACATAATATATATATATATATATATATATATATATATATATATATATATATACACAAATTTCTTTAAATAAATAAATGAAGTAAATGCCAGGTTAGACACAGTTCAAGTACAGTTAGTGAATTTAAAGATAGTACTGAAAATTCCATCCTGAATATGCATAAAAACACAACAGCTCTCTGTATGTATGTATGTGGTGGGGGGGGCGTCAAATAATTTATTTTCCCTACTTCTTCTAGATCTTCTCAATAAAGATGTTTTGCTTTGTTAATTTTTGAATGGAAGAAAGAAACTATATAAAATATACTACATATATATGTACGTATATATAATATTAACTAAAGAAAAAATACATTTATACAAATAAAAATTTATTTAAGAAATAAGGCATTCTATCCCAAATTTATTTACCAGAGAAAAAATTATAAACTTGACTTGTAAACTTAATGCTGTAGAGACCTTAAAGTGATTGAAAATTTCAAATTAGGTGTTCCTTAAATAAAGTTCTGTGCCATATATAAAAAAGACCACATCTGAAATTAGTTGCTTTTATAGCAGTTCACTACCACACCAGGCAAATTTCAGATAATTCTGAATGACACACACAAAAAAGTGTCTGCATATATTTAGATATGGGTGTATCTTACATCTTTGTCAAACATTCCAGGTCAAAGGGACCCAAGCTTCATGTAGCAGGGCAGTCTCACCTTACTTAACCTGACTGCAAGATCAGATTCCTAGTGGCAGTTGTTTAACTTACAGTGTCAAAATCAAACAGAACTATTAAAGACAGATCTCCAAAGAAATGAATGTTCATTTAGAAAGAGAACATAAAAATTAAATTGCAATTCAGGACACACATACACATAGCTCATAATGGTCTTGGGTCTATCCTGTGAACAAAAGGTGAAGGTTTTATTAAGATGGAGAAATCTACACAAATGATTTTGAAAGAAATTTCATTGGCACTTGCAATGGATTGCTGAAGCTGGCAAGCTCTGACTGGGGAGTGGCATGAGTTACTATGTAAAGCTAGCCTTAAAGTCATAACCAGCTGTTTCCTTGTCATTTGCTAAATAAAATTAGTCTTAAAGTCATGGCAGCCCATTTCTTTGGCTCAGTTTTAGGAGATAGTTCCTAGAACAGGTATCTGTGAGTGTCCCCCTCCCCCATGGCCCCTCCACTCCATTTTGCATAATTATTTTCATAATGGTAAGATTATCTAGATAATTTCAGTATTAATTGCGGCACATAAATAAGCAATTATGTTAAGACCTACTTGTTCTCCACCACTGCCATCTTATGCAGATGCCTACATTTTTCTGGTAGTCTTTTTTTTCTTGTGACAATATCATACATATCCTGTGAGGTTATACACAAGTGACATTTCAAAATGATTGAGGATTGCATCCAAAATTTTATTCATTTAAATAATTTTTGCACACCTACCATGTGCAAGGCACTTTGGAGGCAGAGCAGTGTTTGAACTTCAGTATAAAAGACAAAACAAAACCAATTTTCTGAATGAAAATTCTCCCAAGCGGAGTTATTAATCATGAGTTCAACTTTTCTCAAAGCCCTGGATCTTCACACAGTGAATATAACTTGTCTATGTTGTGCCAATCCCATAGCTTCAGCTCACCATGACTCTCTACTTTTACCTTGCTAAGGGCAGCACAGATAACTACATGCAGTGAGGATTTTCCATAAACACAGACTAGACGATTCTGAGTCTCATCCAATGGAGTGTACTCGTTTTAGTGCCTATAAATAACCTGATTTAGCTCCTAACAATGCACCCAGCACTTGATGTAACCCTCTTAATAAGGGAGTGTTAACTATGGCTGAAAAAATATCTGTAAATAATATTATATTTTTTTGCATGTGATTTTAAAACAAGGATACATTTAATGCAGAAGGCCAAATTCTGTCCTCTGCTTTTCTTAATATTACAAGGAAGTTAGAAACTTAATTTCTCCTATTCAAGGCATCAGTTTCTTCCACTAGAATGTTTGGATATACTGCAGAATTCAGTCCTTCAGATCTTATTACTTATCACTTTTGTTTTTGTTATTGTGATTTTTTTTTGAAGATTTTTTTTGTTTTAAAATGACCTATGTTCATTTCATTAAAAATTTCATTAGCTTCTGGAAAAAAAATAAAGATCATAAGTTAAACTTTTCCTTCTTCTTGAGAAGGGATTGTGAGGGGAAATTATCATTTCCTTTTGCTTTGCCCCCCTTCCCATTCCACCACTGAAAAATGGAAAGAAGTTCATAATTGGAGCTTGGAATATTCCATCTGCTCTGAGGTCACTAAGTTCTATTTCTCTCAAGGGTTCTAAATCATACTCCATTAGTTTGCTTCCAAATCTCAGCCCTGAGACTAGAGACCCCTATATGGGTAATATCACTAAGAAAGTAATTGCAGGTAAATGATTTATTTTTTCCTGGTCTAGTAAAACCATGAAGACTAAACACTAGAATTTTTTAAAACATTAAACCAAAGCCAAAGAATAACTAAAGGAACAATAGGCAGTTTGTAAATGAGCAAAAACTAGAGAAACGTAAGTGGTACATAAAGCTAAAGCTGAAAAGGACTTGAAAAACAATCCAGTAATTTTATTTTACAAGTTAAATCAACTGAGTCTTAAAGTGGCACAATTAGAAACTGCTGTTTAAGGCAGTTCCTGTTTTGTTCAAGGTTCTCTGCACTGTACCACCAGCCCTCTTGAGCAGATTCAGTAGGCCTGTGTTGCTTAAAGTTTATTCTCTGTGAACGCTGATCCCATACAGGGCTCTAGCCCCTGGAAGGTTCTGTGAGCACGTAAGTTGGGACCTGTGCCATACAGTCATTGAGAGACCCACTGCTATTTTTTTTAATCTATATATAACAGCAGAATACATTACAATTCTTATTCCACATATAGAGCCCAATTTTTCATATCTCCAGTTGTATATTCACAACTGGAGTATATTCACACCAATTCGCGTCTTCATACCTGTACTTTGGATAATAATGATCATCACATTCCACCATCATTAATTACCCCATACCCCCTCCCTTTCCCTCTAACCCCTCTGCCCTATCTACAGTTCATCTGTTCCTCCCATGCTCCTCCTCCCTATACCATTATGAATCACCCTCCTCATATCAAAGAAAACATTCGGCATTTGGTTTGGGGGGATTAGCTAACTTCGCTTAGCATTATCTTCTCTAACTCCATCCATTTACCTGCAAATGCCATGATTTTATTCTCTTTTATTGCTGAGTAATCTTTCATTGTGTATATATGCCACACTTTTTTTATCCATTCATCTATTGAAGGGCATCTAGGTTGGTTCTACAGTTTAACTATTGTGAATTGTGCTGCTATAAACATTGATGTGGCTGTGTCCCTGTAGTATGCTATTTTTAAGTCCTTTGGGTATAGAACGAGAAGAAGGATAGCTGGGTCAAATGGTGGTTCCATTCCCAATTTTTCAAGAAATCTCCATATTGTTTTCCATATTGGCTGTACCAATTTGCAGTCGCACCAGTAGAGTATGAGTGTACTTTTTTCCCCGCATCCTCGCCAACACTTATTGTTGTTTGTCTTCATAATAGCTGCCATTATGACTGGAGTGAGATGAAATCTTAGAGTGGCTTTGATTTGCATTTCTCTAATTGCTAGTGATGATGAACATTTTTTCATGTATTTGTTGATTGATTATATATCATCTGAGAAGTGTCTCTTCAGGTCCTTGGCCCATTTATTGATTGAGTTATTTGTTTTGGGGGTGTTTAGTTTTTTGAGTTCTTTATATACCCTAGAGATTAGTGCTCTGTCTGATGTGTGAGAGGTAAAGATTTGCTCCCAAGATGTAGGCTTTCTATTCACCTCACAGATTGTTTCTTTTGCTGAGAAGAAGCTTTTTAGTTTGAATCCATCCCATTTATTGATTCGTGATTATAATTTTTGTACTATAGGAGTCTTCTTAAGTAAGTTGGGGCCTAATCCAACATCATGGAGATTTGGGCCTACTTTTTCTTCTATTAGACACAGGGTCTCTGATTTAATTCTTAGGTCTGTGATCCACTTTGAGTTGAGTTTTGCACATGGTGAGAGATAGGGGTCTAATTTCACTTTGTTGCATATGGATTTCCAGTTTTCCAAGCACCATTTGTTGAAAAGGCTATCTTTTCTTCATGTATGTTTTTGGCACCGTTGTCTAATAACTGTGCTTATGTGGGTTTGTCTTTGTGTCCTCTATTCTGTATCATTGGTATACCATTCTACTTTGGTGCCAAAACCATGCTGTTTTTGTTACTATTGCTCTGTAGTATAGTTTAAGATGTGGTATAGTGATGTCATCTGCTTCACTCTTCCTACTAAGGTTTGCTGTAGCTATTCTGAGTCTCTTATTTTTCCAGATGAATTTCATGATTGCTTTTTCTATTTCTATGAGGAATGTCATTGGAATTTTGATCAAAATTGCATTAAATGTGTATGGTGCTTTTTTTGCAAGTATGTTCATTTTGATAATATTAATTCTGCCTATCCAAGAGCAAGGTAGATATTTCCATCTTCTAAGGTCTTCTTTGATTTCTTTCTTTAGGGTTCTGTAATTTTCATCATATAGATCTTTCATTAAGTTGATTCCCAACTTTTTTTTTTTTTTTTTTTTTGAGGCTATTGAGAATGGGGTAGTTTTCCTTATTTCTCTTTCAGAGTATTTGTCACTGATATACAGAAATGCCTTTGATTTATGAGTGTTGATTTTGTATCCTGCTACTTTTGCTGAATTCACTTTCTACTTCTAGGAGTTTTCTGGTGGAACTTTTAGGGTCTTCCAGGTATAGAATCATATCATCAGCAAATAGTGCCAATTTGAGTTCTTCTTTTTCTATGTGTATCCCTTTAATTTCTTTCATCTAACTGCTCTGGCCAGTGTTTCAAGAACTATGTTAAATAGAAGTGGTGAAAGAGAGCATCCCTTTCTTGTTTCAGTTTTTAGAGGGAATGCCTTCAATTTTTCTCCATTTAGAATGATGTTGGCCTGGGGCTTAACATAAATAGCCTTTATGATATTGAAATATGTTTCTGTTATCCCTAGTTTTTCTAGTGTTTTGGACATAAAGGGGTGCTGTATTTTGTCAAATGCTTTTTCTGTGTCTATTAAGGTGATCATATGATTCTTTAAGTCTATTGATGTGATTTTAAAGGCATGAGAAATATTGCAGCAGGGCCAGCCCATTAGCTCTGTTCAGTCCAGCATCTCCTGGACTTTCTTGAGTTCTGGACCCATTCTTCCTTGTAGCACCTTTTCAGAGTTCTGTAGAACCATTAGGGCTGGGTGAGTATCTTGCAGTATTTGGGAAGTAAATAAGTATTAGTATTCACATTTCAAACATTGGAGTAACTATAGTGGTTTATTCCAAAAGAAAATGAGAATGTAGGCCTAGAACCTCCCCTTAGTATCTACTGGGTATTTTTTCCAGGATCTCCACAGATACCCAAATACAGAGATGCTCAAATCCCTTATATTAGATGACACAGTGCATGCATATAATCTACACACATCTCCTCTGCTACTTTCAATCATCTCTGTGTTGCTTTTAACACTTCACACAATATAAATGCTGTGTAAATAGTTGTTATACTATATTGTTTAGGCAATAAGAAAAATGTCTATACCTGTCCTGTACAAGCAACCATCCAGGGCCTGATGACATCTGTCTGGTTGGTTGAGTCCTTGAATGCAGAACCTGCAGATCCAGAGGTCTGACTGTATTTCTTTGTGACATTAGGGAAACAGTGTTATCTGGAAAAAATACTTCATGCCTTAAAATCAGTGCTAAAAGTGATTGGTTATTTTTATACTGCTTTGATAACTAGTAGTATCACACCATTAACTTTATTAAACTCAGAATGCTTTATTAAGTACATTATACCTTCTCTTTGTTTTTCAGGACACTGTAATTTATGAACGACTTGCAGAGACTTCAAAATACAAAGAAATTACCCTAAAACATTTAGAACAGTTTGCTACAGAAGGTGAGCATAATAGTGTAGTAAAGTATGATTAAAATACACAGAAATCATATACTCTTGAGAGCTTACAAGGTCACTGGTATTGTTTTACCTAGACATTCCTAAAATAAGGTATCAATATTGAGAGCTTAGATTTTACTATATTCTGTTCCCATACAATATTTTTATTTTATTTAGAAAACTAAAACTGTATTTATTGAAATGTTCAGAGGCTTTATCCCTACATTTTAGGTAGTAAGATCCATTAATCTGTTTACTTTTCAGAATGGATAAATTTACAGTGTAAACACTTTACCTTATATCTCAAGAAATTCATTAGGGAAGAAATGAGTCAAAGAACTGAAATATTCTAATCTGAATAAGAGAGAGAAGAAATAAATAAGCCTATGTGATTATGAAAATGAGTATCAATTTAGTTAGAACTGAAGACTTTTTTTTTAAGGCCCCGACCACATGTCAAGCTCTGTGTTAGACCTGAGAATCGATGATAAAAAAGAAAAAAGCTTAACCCTGTCTCTCTGCCTTGAAATATGATGATGTGTGAAACAAAACAGTACTTGGTCTAGAGAGCTGATCTAGATAGGATGAAAGGGAGTAAGGGTTGTTAAACATTAGGGTCAGTACTACAAGAATTTGTAGTCTTATGTCTGAACTTGGCAGCAGTGGTCACAGCTGTATCTAAATCTCCCATCTCAGTTTTCCCTCCTGTTTCAGCTAGAACAGTCGCCAGGGGTACCAAGCCTGACCCCTGATCAATCCTTTCTTCCTCCTGATCCAAGCTGAGAAAAGATAGAAATGTTTTTTAAAAATCACTAGGAAAAAAATTATAATAGACTTTGAAAATCAAGGACACAAAGAACCTCCTCCCAATTCTACAGAAAGCAGGAACACAGAAGCATACATGATGATAGAGCTCAGACCCTCAGACAGGGCCCCAGGCAGGTTCAACCTACCACACACAGCACAGGTATTGTTTGGTTTGGTTTTGCTTGTTGAGGGGTCTGGAGGCATCTTTCTCTTCTGGATATGATGATACACATGCTCTGGCTCTCAGACATATTTGAGTTGGCTCGGCCCCCACCTTCACTCCATTCTTTCTGGCTCTGGGCTGAATGTCACTTCTGCTCCATGGCTCCCCTCAAATAAATTTTCCAGCCAAGTTTCCAAAAGTGAAAAACATGCCCTAATATGGCCCCGTGGATTTAACCTCCACTCTCAGTGATCCGGCAATAGATAACCCTAGTCCTTTCTTAGAAAGACCCTCCTGGTATTTTATGTCACAGGTTCTTTGCTTCTTGCTTCTGACATATTGCCTTGAACATATTTTATTTGACAGGATGATGAAGCCTAGAGTCTGGCTCTGATTGTTTTTAGAGTTAAATGACCTTGAGTGAGGCATTCTCTTAGGAACCTAGGTAGCTGCTTCCTTACATGGCTGAGAAGTGCTCTGGCCTCTCTCTTCTTCTAGTTCCTCTACTTTTTTTCTGGCTGAGGGTGAAGTGAGCTATGAAAGCCATAGACACTGAGCTCTGGGAGTAGGTCAGCGCACACATGAGCTTTGACTGCCTTCCCTGAACACGTCTGTTCCTTATTGCCACTGACCCTCCATTTACAAAGATTCTTTTTGCCATAAATTTATAGTGGTAAACAGCAGTGATAAATACAGTCATATAGCCCAGTAAGAGGAAGGCCACCCTCCCAGTTGACTTTAAGGGGTTTCCCTGTCCCTCCTCATAAACATCTGAAGCCACTATTCTGAGTCAGCCACTGTATCTGACAGTGGAGTTACAGATAGGAAGAACTCCAGGTCCCTGCTGTTCAGGAGCCTCAATCTGATAGAGGAGACCATGAGAGCAAACGTATAGAACATTGTTATTCACAACATGAGAGCATTTGGGGATTTCTGCTTGTGTCATCCAGGTGACAGGAGGCTATTTCAAAACGATGGCTTGAAGAGCTGAGTCTTAAAGTTGATTCCAAACTGACAGTGGCAAGGTATTTGGGAGGGTAGAGTGGAGACCCTGGTATGGAGAAGGTGGCAGCAGGGAAAGAGGTTGAGGCAGTTGATGAAACAAGTAAGAGCCATACATCAGGGTTTACCTCTCATCTTGGAGAATGTTCAGAAGATTTCAAACGAAGGAAGCCCTTAATAAGATCAGGATTTTAGAAGAGTCACTCTAGGTATGGAGGATGGATGAAAAGGACTGGGAATGAGAAGCACAGTGCCAATCTTAAGAGTGAGAGGACATTGATAGATGTTTTATACTGAGGTTTTGTCATAGCCGAGTTGGATTTAGCATATTATTTGAATGCAATTGGTCTTTTCAAATAGGACTTTATTAAACAAAAACAGGAACATCAGACTTCTGAATAAAATCTTTTTTGGTGTGTCGGGGTGTGTGTTTGTTGCCTCTTCCAGGATTAAGAACTTTGTGTTTTGCCGTGGCTGAGATTTCGGAGAGCGACTTTGAGGAGTGGAGAGCTGTCTACCAGCGGGCGTCCACCTCCGTGCAGAACAGACTGTTGAAGCTGGAGGAGAGCTACGAGCTGATCGAAAAGGTGTGTGGGGGGCTGTTTTGGTCCTCCAGAAAGTCAGTCTTTACTCTTGGGACCAATGGAATAAAAAGGAGACCATCTTGATGCAACACTCACCGTTGAATTTCCTCTCACTGTCTAGCATTAATACACCTTCATTAATAACATTTATGAGAGAGAAGTTTACTGAACAGGCACAGGTTTAGACATTACGATGTATAGACCTTCACTCTTACAGTTTGGGATCACAGTTTGGTCTGACGATCTCCTTACCAACTTCTTCCATTGTTTCTGCATCACTGAGGACATGGACCATGCCCACACACACATTATATAAACATACATTTGTGCTTAGAATTAATCTAAGCATATTTAATATGTAATATAAAATCATGATATAGCTTACATAATCTGTAACTAGTAATCAGTAATACTTAAGTGAATAATCCTGGGCGCATACCTGGCCAATTGTTGTACTACACTTATGCACCCCTCTCCTTCTATTATTTTGATCACAAGTATAAATATCCCTCTTTTACAGATGAAGAAACTAAAGCCAGTCAGCCTAAAAGTGATCCATACACTATGGCTGGTGCTATAGAAATAGTAAGATGTTAATTATCAGTGGCAAATAATTTTGTGTACTCTGTGCCAGGTGCTGTTCATAGCACTTTTGTTTATTAACTATTTAATCCCTTTGAAGTGTTAATTATCCTGTTTACAGATGAAGAAATCAAGGCACAGATTAAGTCATCCTGCTAACATTACACAGCTCCTATGAGCAACAGATCTCCCTCCTACCCGTTTTCATGCTCTGAAGCACTCATGTGCCTCCACTCTAACCTTTAACTACCCATTAAATAACTCCCCAGTTGCTCAGTTCCTTCAACATATTCATGTTTGTACAGCATGGAAGCAAACTAGCTCGTCAGCCACAGTTCATCAGATCTCACCTCCAGGTAAGTAAAGGCTGACTTTTTCCTTCTTCCTCTCTATCAAACTAGGTATTTCCCAATATTTCTGTCTTATAAGGCCATGAGCACCACAGGGATGTCCTGGACTATTTCTACTTCTGTTCCCATATGCCCTTTACTACTAGGGAGGGCCATTTTCTAGCTGCAGGTGGTTTCTCTGTCGCGTACACTTGCCACATGTAACTCTAGGTATTGTTCTTCTGTCTCCTCAGTACACTGTGATCACTTCATATGTTGTGTGTTTTATAAGGGAGACATCTAGTCACATAGGTCATACATCATATGCAGAGAGAGAAAGATATATAGATAGAGATATCTACCCCTTATATATGAACTTAATATTTTCTGCACTTTATTCTAAGAAGACACGGGATAGCATATGTAGTACCTTCCAGCTTGGCCCCCCTCACCAAATTTAGCGGTGTGCACACAGCAGGGGCTTGCTATCAATTTATTTATTGAACCTGCATTTTTTTTCTTTTTTGGCCACTTTCTAACATTTATATATGATTATATCTTTGGGGTATTATACGTTGAAATAAAATAATATGGGGCCATGATCGTAATCTCCAATGAAAGTCATGTATTATATCTTACTAATGGTATTGATTTTTATCTTTTGCTTTCCTTACTCTTAAGAATTTTTTTTAATTACCATGTTTGTAAATGATTCTCTTATTCCTGCTATCTTCTCTCCCATGCTAATGATATGGAATTAATGTATAGTGACACTAAAAATACATTTGAAAATGGATTATTAAATTGTTTATACTTGAAGCATGTATAGAAAATTCTTGAGCTGAATTATCAATAAGCCTAACATTCTTACTCTTAATTTCTTAGTATCTATAGGTTAGGTTTTTTAGGATTTACAGTTTTCTTGTTAATGTCTGATAAAAACCTCATGTTTTTAACAGAAGTAGGTGTTCAATCTTTTTCCAGCAGATGGTGATCATGAGTTGCATTGAAATTTAAGTTGCCTGAGAAAATCCATTGAAAGTTTTTGTTGTTGTTTCTTTGGGTTTGTTTGTTTGATTGTTTAGTTTACCTACATGGAAACCTCCCTTATGATTGCTTTTTAGCTAAAACAAGTGAAAATGGAAAATTAGAGCTAATTTATCTTTACTTCTTGATAAGCCACAGGCTCTCACATGTTAAAAAGTCTTAAGACCCAGAAAGGTGAAGAGATTGGGTCCCTTACTCAGCCAGAGTATTGGGGAGGGGGTTTAGGGACAGGAAAGATGGTGGAATGAGGTAGATATCAATCATTACCCGAGTACATGTATGACTGCACATATGGTGGACACTACATCATGTACAATCAGAGAAATGAAAAGTTGTGCTGCAGTTGTGCACAGTGAATCAAAATGCATTCTGTTGTCATATATACCTAATTAAAATAAATTTATAATTTTTTTTTTAAATTCAGAGAACAAGAGTATACTTCTGGAAACTTAAAAAAAAAAATTAGTTTTCTGCATCCTTCTGTATTCCTCAAACTGGGTTTTTATTCAGTTATACATTCAGTTAACTTTCATTAGGCATTTAAAAGGTACTAGATATCCAACTGCCCAAGCCCATGAGGAAAATGGTTTGGGCCCTCTGGGTGCCCTGGTCTGAACAAGTCTCAAGTTGAGGAAACCTCAGGAACCCCCCTGAAGTGATCCACACGCTCCATCTGAAGGAAGCATGCAGAGCGGTGGTAACTTTTGAAAGAGCTTAAAAGAGTGTTGAACCAGGTAGAGGAAAGCAGAAGTCTTTTTTAAAGGAAAAAAGAATGACACAGGGGTCTCTGCAACTGAACTGTTTTTCTAAAAAGTGGCTCTGCCAACACTGGTCCTTTGAGGACTGTGGGTGGGGTTTTTAGACGTCTATAGAGCCAGGGTGATATCACTTTGTTGTTGGTCTGAGTTTCCATTCTTTGTTAAACTCAGCTGGGGTCAGTTCCGTAGAAGTTTTGATTTACTGCCGTTAAAACCACCCTAGTGAGGCAAGTTTCAACCTGTCAGGCCGCTGATTCTGCTCATGTGTCACCCTGGCTTTAAATTTAGCTGTCACAGCCTTAGAGTTCATCCAATTTGGCTTCTTCCTTACCTACTTTAACAGAGACATGTTGATTAGGCAATCTATTTTTTATATGTTTGGAATCTATTTTTATGTAGACTCTGATGTTGGACTTAACATATAAGGAAATGAATTTTTTTTTTAACGTGAGAGTGGTTTTCAAGAAAATGTTTTCAGGGCAGAACCCATTTTCCAAACAAAACATTCCCTGAACCATGATAATCATAATTGATAAAAGCAGCGCTGCCCTGGTTGAAAAGTTAAGGGGTGGAGGGAAGCCCCTTGTTGGCTTCCGCTACCCCTCCACCATGGTGGTCCGTGAGGGGCTTTTCAGGACTGGGGGGTCCTCTGAGTACAATTTGAAGACTATATAATGTTACCTCTGTGTGTGGACTTTTTAGAAAATGTGCTTCTCAAAAGATCAGAACTTCATTGTGGTCATACAGAATGTTTCTGAACACATTTGAATCAGTGACCCGGAATGCCATCAACACAGTGATGGTAGTATTACTTCAAAAACAATTCAAAATTTGAAAGATTTATTGAGCATTCCACAAAAACAAGAATGTTTTTGATAAATAAATATTTTACAATATGATTAAGGTTGTGCTTTCAAACCCTGTGTGCTCTCTCTCTCTCTCTCTCTCCTACCTCCTCTCACCCCTGTCATATTCATTCAAATGAGTAAATTCAGTTTTTAAGATTTAGTTAAAACCATATTCCTTCGGGGGTTATAACTTCTGGTGTGAACTGAAAAAACTACCCAGCTAGACCACAAATATGCAAGAATATGTTGATATCTATCCATAGGTGCAAGGCTGGGTTACTTTTCTACCCCAAGACATCTGAGCACTAGAGTGCACTGCCTTAACCCCACCCCCACCCCCAAGGAAACACTGAAGGGAAGAGAACACAGAGGTATGAAGAATCCTCTGCTAATGGCATCCATGTTGACAGTCATCATTAGAGGAGAGAACTGGGGATTTTTAAATTTATTTAAAATATAATTACATCTGTTGTAATATTGTATTATGTGGGCTCCAACACTTGCATCCATATGGTAAACTTTTCAGAATACTAAAAAAAATAATTCTTATGCCATGAGTTGTTTCAAGAATCAGTTACTGGTACATTTTCTTTTCTGTTACTAAATATAAGCCAGGGGGTGACATTTGATAGTAGGAGAGTCTTAACTTGTTCGGAAATAAGGTCACTTAGTTAACATGCAAAAGGAACTGTCAGAGTCATCTCCGATGCTCCAGTTGTCTTGACCCACTTGGAAGAGGAATATTACAGCTTCACTCTGGTGCTATGGACAGTAATACCTCCTAGTCCCTCCTCATCACCACTTGAGAGAATTTACAGTTGTCTCATTTTCAGATGACAAACTTGACCTGTTTTGTCTTCCTTAACCTTATTCTTTTGAAATACGGTATAGTTGAATTCATCATTTCAGCTTATGAAACCAGTTATAGTGTTCAGTCTATACTTTTTAAAGCCAGATTATTTTTAAATAAATTTAAATTTAAATTATATCTGCATTTATTTAAAAAGATTATAAATAACAAAATATTATAAAATCTTAAGTTTTATTGGCAATGGTTTCTCTGAAATTTCTCACCTATTTGCTTTGATCTGTCACTTTAATTTTATTCTAACATTTGAAACACAAATTATTTTTGCCCCATTCATTCTGTTCTGCTGGATTCCTTTGAAATTAATAGTACAGAGAGTTCTGATCTTACTTTCTTATTTTCTAATTAAACCAGTGGTAGAATATGAAGATGTGTCTTCATGGAAGATATAGCTTTTTAAATTTTTTATATTTATTTGCTTCAATCAATGTGATTATATCTTTAGCACTACACAAATTACCTACTAGTAGCTTCTATGTTTATGAAAGCACATTATGTATCTTGAACATCATAGAAAATAAAGCAGTGTGATATAATACTATCTAGATTGAGCATTGTTTGAAGCAGTATT